TTTTTTTTTTTTTTTTTTTTTTTTACATAAGTTTTGAGGTTGAAAGTCATGTTTTCAAGGCAAGCACTTTACAAAATAAGCCCATCTCCCAGCTCTGAAGTGTCTTAAAAATGATAGCAATTACTTGTTTTGTGTGTAGTACTATGATTCTATGAGTGTGGACCTGCATGCCCCTCCCCGCCTCTCTGTAGGTCAAAAGATAATTTGTAAGAGTCAGTTCTCTCCTTCCACCACGTGGGCCCGAGAGACCAAACTCCGGTCACCAGGCTTGATGGCAAAGCCCCTTTCCTCACTGAGCCATCTTGCTGGCCCCCTAAAGTGTCTTTTTAAGATCAGATAGCTGGTTGGCAGTAACCTAGGGTAAGGGCACAAGGTTCCCATCTTCTTCATCCATTCTGACACAAAGATGCCCCGCCCTGATTCAGTGGGGAGCTCAGCTTAGGTGCTAGCTAGCTGAAGCAGCAGCTGGAGTTATCAAAGGAAAACCTCCAATGTTAACTTTATTTGCTCTGAAAAACCATCATCTCCATTCTTCATCTCTCCATGCAGTCCTGGCGCGGCGACAAGGAAGCCTTTCTCTCTGGCCTCCATAAAGTGCCTTGTTTCATAAGAAAGGGCACAACAGATGCTTCCCGTTGGCTCTCCATCTCCAGGTCCCATTCGGAAGACCTGGCCAGGATGGACCTTTCCAATATTGCACACGTGTCGGGGTGTTGTTGGGCCCCTGCCGGTTCGCCACCTTTTCCTCCACCTTCCCTGAGGCAGTTGCTCCTGTCCTGGGGGCCTTTGCGCTACCTCCAGTCGAGGGCATCTGGTGCAGATGTGGGCTGTTCACAGCCTGGATTCCAGTTCACTTTGGTCCAGGGAAGCACCACCCCTGATCCACAGCTGGATCTGCCCGGGGTCCTCACGAGCTCACAATGTCCCAGTGCTGGCTCATGAGTGAGGACTCGCAAGGGTTGACCACGACCTCTTTGCCGTCCTCGGCGCTGTCACCGAACATGTCTGTGTCCAGGCAGAGGTGGGATGCTATGTGCTCAATGCGAGCGCCTGTCTTCGTCCATTGCTGAGGAGATAGAGGGGAGAGAACATGAGCTCATTTTTTTTTCTGACCAAGGCCATGGGTTCTATGGATAATATAAGTCACCCAGGCATTATCAGAAGGGATCACACCCCATGTGGTCTGCCAGAGATGTGATTTCATGGTCTCATGAAGGAAGAAATTATTCTGACAGGCAGTAGGGTTTTATTTTTTTTATTACATTTAAATTTGTATTTATTTACTTGTGTGTGTGTGTGTGTGTGTGTGTGTGTGTGTGTGTGTGTGTGTGTGTGCGTGCGCGCGCGCCAGAATACAACTTATCAGAGTTGCTTTTCTCTTTGCATGTATCTCCAGGGATTTAACTCAGATGGGCAGGCCTGGTACTGTTGCAAGTACCTTTACCCATGAGCCATCTCTCCAGTTCTAGTCTTTTAAAAATGAGTTCTAAAAAAAAAATGTTAAAAGTTAAATCAGTGTTTGCTAGGAAAACTCACCGGGAGGCAATAACTTTCCAGGCGACAGGGTAGGAAATGTGAACTGAGTTAGACATGGGGCAGACAGAAAAAAAACAAAACAAAACAAAACAAAAAGCCATGTTCCATGTCTTCCTTGAGGAGAAAGTTAGACAAAGAGAAGATGGGGCCCTTGAAGGTGACAGCAACAGACGTTTTCCAACTCTGTACCAGGAGCCCACAGAGAGGTGGGTCTCAGGCGGTTTCCCTTCACCACCTCGTACGTGGCAAGGATAGAGGGATGGACACATACCCCGACTAGACACTGAGCGCGGTACTTCGTAGAGACCACTACCAGGCTTGTTCCCCACACTTCCTTTGGGTTCTATCAGCCCCCATTTGGAGAAGAGGAAGAGGCGATCTCAGATAGATACAGTGATCCACTGTGTGCCGCACTCATACTTGGAACGGGCTCTTGAGCTGCAGTCCCTCATACCCGGGCAGGAAACTGAGCACATTCCAAGTCCACGCTGCTAGAGGGACAGTGTGCATCTAAGATACAACTCGCAAAGCACTGAGGGCAAAGCGTTGAGTTTGAACCTATGGCCCTGGCTCTCGTCTTAGAGTCCAGGTAGGTGACGGAGCAGGGACAGAAACATACAGGGTGGGCGGGCCTGGTAAGATTAGCTAACGTCTGCAGGCTTTCAGCTATTCACTGCTCAGTGGGACCAACGTAGCCTTTACTGCTGACCCCATTGAGGGAGTCCTATCCCTGACTCTGGAAGTTTTTCGTGCTCATTCACCCTTCCGCTTTCAACATGCCCTATCATCTCCTGACTGGAGAAGACGTAAACCCACCCCAGTCACAGTATGGAGGTTGACCACTCCCAACCCTACCCTACCCCAGGACCTGCGGATCACTCACCTGCCTTTCATCCCCATTCTTGCACAGAACAAGAACCACCGGGGCACCAGGGAACAGGGTGACAACAGATAGGCACAGCTCTTCCTGGATGATCTGCTGGGTGTATGTGAAAGCCCACACCTGAGGAGACCAAGGAGATTTACTCAGAAGTGGGGCAGCCACCATCAATAGGGGGGTACCACCATGCCTATGTGTGATGACCCATATGGCTGGATAAGAGTTTCCATGGATCCCAGGAAGTAATGATCATCAAGAAGGTCGCCTGGTAGAATGCGACTCAAAGGACAAAGGCTAGGAGTCTACACGGCCATGAACTCTCTGTCCCCACACCCCATGTTGGGTCCTGAGCCATGAACAAGCAGGTATATACTGGAAGTTGCAAAATAATTCTGACTCTGGGCAGCTGCCTCAACACCCTAGCTGATCCACACGATCCTCCAGCATCTGCTTGAAGATAATGTCTCCATGAGAGTTTGTTGCTGACATTTAACACTTCAAACAGCTACCCAACAGGCTTCTCTCTGCCCCAGATGTCTTTAGGATGTCTTCTCTTCTTTGGCAGGATACCAAGTCAGTGCCTTGAGAACATGAAAAGCTGTGATAAGAGGCAGATGGAAGGGTAAAAGGGAAGGAAACACTCAAGGGAGGCGATGGAGACGAGTCAGGCGGGAAAGAAGAAAGTTGTGCAAAGTAACATTACTTAAAAGTGTGCACAGTCTAACACACCAGTATAGCAAAGGGTTTGGCCCTTCCACCCCTGCGGGGGGCGAGGGGGGGGGGAGTAGAGAGACCAGATCAGCAAGAGATCTGGAGATCTGATGGAATAGGAAACAGGGGCGCTCTGTGCGGTCATTGCAAGACACCAAAGTGGCGGATTGCTTAGCCAGCACTTAACCGTTGCTTAAGGCCCTGGTGTAACTGCTGCCGAAACGACAAAGAGGTTTTTCTCTCGGGTTGTGAAAGAGGCAACAACTACCCTTTTCCTCCATCATGCAGTAAAGACGATTCACGATTAGTCTCCAATCGTGAGGTTTCAGAGGGGACTCCTGCCAAGGGCTGTATCTTCTCTCCACTACATCCCTGTGTGTGAAGTGGCCTTCCATCTTTGGACCAGGCCACTCATGAGCTCCTTCTTGGCCGCAGTCAATGGAGAGCAGACAGCTCGCAGCTGTAGGGACAAGTGTCCCTGGAGTGTTTCACCTGTATTCATACTCTCATTTCAATTCCCATATTAGGGATGACATCATTGTCTGGTCTGTCTTCTTCAGGCCCTGACCTCCTCGTGAGGGGCCATTCCTAACATCTTATGATGATGAGACAAGAGTATAAATACAGGACCATGCCTCATGAATGCCACACTAGGTCCTGAGACACATGTAGTGTTGGCTTCTAGTCTGCCTGCTCCCTTCTCTTCCCACCTCTAGCCTGTATATTTGGGCATAGGCATTCCCTAAATGGTCCCATTTGGGTCTAGATACGTGTATTGGTGACTTAATCCACTTGAGAGGCCAAGGCCAGGCATGAAGTCCACATGGGTCTTGAGACTGGTCTGGGGCATTGGACAGATGACTCTGGTGCCCTAGGCATCAGGAGTGTGATCTAGAATGATAATCTGCATTTGGGACTAAGAATATTTCTCCTTGAGGGAAGGATAAAGGCCCAAGGGCAGTGTCCAAGGGCAGAGCTACAGGGAGCCATTATTTGTGGACCCATAGGACCACTGGCCTGAAATCTATTAGATTTTTACCCTCCCCTGAAAATAAGGCTTAAATCCGTGATGGAAAAATGAGTTAGTCTCTTCTGTTATTGCTCTGTAGCCCACTGGGAAGCACAAATTAACATTTCAAAAATAAATCCTGTCATTATCATAAGATCACCGCAATATACATGGAGTTACATTGTTTCTGTTAAAAGCATTAAGGGATTAAACACAGGAACTTAAAAACACACCACAGTTTTTAAAAACACACCTTGCCAGTCTTTCCTTTTTAACACCCAGAAGTGGCATCTGAGACTTCACATTCAGAAATGCCTCTTGAGAAGGGGCACACCAGAGCACGCCTGGGCTGGGGTCTAAGAAAGTCACTTTAAGAGTCTGCAAGAGGGACCTGCGAACAGGAAGCCATCATAAAAGTCCTTATACAAGGAGGCTAGAGAACTGGCCCTGTGGTTAAGAGTAGTGCTTGCTGCACACGCGCACACACATACACATATACATATACACATACATACACACACACACTCCTTACACAAGTATACTTTCTGGGGTATTCCTGACATTTAGTCTCGCAGAGGAGGGCTGATCTCTGGCCCCATATGCAAGAAGAAAGAAGAGAAACGGGAAGCAGAGGTCAGGAGCAGATGGGTAGGAGGAACTAAAAGCAAAGGGTCCATGTCCCATTCTGTGTCCCTCACACTTCCCAGAGGAACAGGCAATGAATGGGTTTATTAAATGAATCCTGAATCAGAAATGTACCCTAAGAAGGCAGTCATTGAGGGGAGGGCTGGGGTTTAGCTGACTGGTAGCGTGTTTGCCTAGCAAGCAAGGGTTCAGCTCCCAGCTCTAGAAAACAAATAAATAAATGGAAAGGTAGCAGCAAGAATACTCAGCCAGATCTGTCCTCCATTAAGGATTGTAGGGCCCTCTATGGATAGCTCCATTCAGAGCCTGGCGGAAGTGCTGTTCATGATGGATGTCCCTCTCCACCCCCAGGGAAGGTAAGCCAAGGACCCATCTAGGGGCTGATGTGAATGGCTTTGGCTCTCTATGGGGATGGGCTGAGGGGAGAGGTTCTCCCGTGGTCCTTGGATTCCTTTGCCAGTCTGTTAGAGCGGGGAAGCTGTACTCAGAGGACATGCCGTGGCTGGAACACAGTGTCTGACAGCAAGAACAGTAGCCTTCTCTCTCAGGAACATGTCCCGGGGCTGCAGCTGGGAAACCTGGGAATGCAAAGGGATCACAGTGGTACCTGGCTGGGGACTTACTGTTTTGAGCTGGATGGAAAATTAGGGAGGAAAGATTTTCTTAAGGTGCTACAAGAACTTAGAGAAGGAAGGGCGAGGGTGATGCTGGCCAGAGGTGCGGATCTTGAAATGACCCAGGGCCCCATTCTCTGACAAACAGGAAAACGTCAGCCTAGAGCAAAGGGACTTTGCTCTACACCTCATTGAAGAAATATCTGGTAAGTATCTGGAGACATTTCTGGATTATTAAGACCATCCCAGATGCATGAACTGGCTTTCTGGAGCCCATTCCCTGTGGTGGGGTACCTTGTTCAGCTCTGATGCAGCGGGGAGGGGCTAGGTCCTGCCTCAACTTGGTAGGCCAGACTTTGTTGACTACCCAAGGGAGGCCTTACCCCCTCTGAGGAGTGGATGGGCGGTGAGATGGAGGGGGGGGTGAGGAGGTGGAAAAAGGAGATGGAGGGGGAACTGGAGATGGTATGTAAAATGAACAAGAAATTTTTTAAAATAAAAATAAAAAATAGTGAAAAGAAGACTAGGTTCTACAGGCATTTAGTGAGGTGGGCAGGACAATGCTAAATATCCTATAAGACACAGAACAGTCCCCACAACAAAGATTGATCTAGTCTTAAGGACAGACATGCTGAAGCTATCATGAGATAGTCTGCAGGCCAACACCTAAATTCTAAGGTATCGTTCATATACACCCTGGTTAGTGTACAGGGGCCTAGCTCACCCAAGCTGTCAGGTGGGGGTGATAACAGCACACAGCCCATCTGAAGGGCTATTTAAGGAGTAAACAAGATCATGCCTGCTGAGCACATAGACCAGATCCTGGCCCTGGCTTTGTGTACTAGCTCCAAGAGTGGTGTGTCCATCCTCATGCGAAGGAATGTTGGGTGAGGAGTCACAAACCAATCCTCGTAGAAACATGAGGTGACTGGGTCATTAGTAAGCAGGAGCCAATGTCCTTTACTGATGGTCGTTGAGTTCCGTGTTTCTAAATGTCTTCTGTGAAGTGAATATTGAACACCGGAGAAAACAGAGTGGGCATGAGACAGGATTGCTGGTCTTGCTGAAGTTGGAGCCTTTCAAGAGCTTGGCTGGTTCGAGCCCCTCCACGTTCAGGTTGACTTAGGCACCGTGTCATGGAAGTGAGGTTCAAAGCAGCCGATGGTTACCCTGACCCAAGTCAGGAGCAGCTGCTGGACTCACCCTGCATAGGAGCTCTCCTCAGATGAGATGGGACCCAAATAGAGGACATCAGGGCCACCAGATGTTCTCTGTAGACCACACTGGCAAGCCTATCAGGCCATGAAAATGCCCTTGAAGGGTTCCTTTCAGACAGATGCCTGTAACAAATGAATCAGATCCAGCAACACCTCTATTTCAGTACAAGATCTCTAAGGGACCAGTTGTGGAGGGCAGCATTGGGTGTTACAAAGGCACAAAAGGCTGGCAGGCCTTGTTGGGCTCACTCTCTTCCTTGGCTGCACAGGCGAAGACTTTACCTCCACCTTAGAGATGGCTCCCAGCCCGCAGGCAGCAGGGTGAGCCAGCAGATTCCTAGATGTACATTTCTCTTGACTGGGATCTTCACTCGACTCATGCTTGAGGCTGTTCCTTTGCTCCCATCCTGTCTTCTCCTACATTGCTGGAAACACTTGTATGTGGGAGTAAAGCCCCATAACCACTTTGGTTGTATCACAGGGTTGGGCTCTGGGGTAACTGCCCACTGGCTTAATAACTTTGTAAACTCTTGGCGAATTGCTTCTGCAGCCTCGTGTACAGTATGAAGAGACTACCAGTCCCTCTGGTAAGAGGGCCACTATATAGAATATATGGCTAATACGTGCATATTCAGAATAGTGATCTCCATTTAGCAAAGGTTTGGTTACTGTTTCTGATGGTGACACCAGTGACTCAGAGTGAGACAAGAGAGATATGCTCCTTTGGAAACCGTCCCAGAGAACTGGCTGTCACGGCGCTTTTGAGGGGCCATTCCCAGGCTGTGGTGAGGAACTCTGAGGAAGAGGGGGCAGGAGGCAATGGGCTGGCAGCTTGTTCCACTGCAGACTCGAGATCTCTACCCTGGAGGTGTCCGTGTGCCTGCTGATCTGAGGAGCACTTTCAATCACATCCACCCTTGGGGTTCCCAGCTGCTGCCTTCTGCTCCATAAATTGGGAGCCTCAACCACTGGCTGGGCAGGGGGAGAATACAGTGCAAACTATCTTATGTTTCCCTCACTTTAATTTGGAATACAAACTAGAGTGGAGCATGTGTCTTCTTCCTACCTTTCATGGATATTTTTTTTTTCCCAGAGATTTCAGTGAAGCTAAGATGAAAAGTATTAGCCTAGAGACTTCCGGGGTTTCACAGGTTTTTTGAATGCATGATGTATGCCTCTTGCATTACCCCAGGACACCAGTTTGCCAGTATCTTTGAAACATTTGAATTCAGCATTTTTCTTCAAAGGATGATGCCAAGCCAGCAAGCAGAAAGGTGAGGCAGGGTGTGGGATGGATGGGCTGGTATGGATGGAGGACAATAATTAGAACTACCGGGCCGCCTTTAATCCCAGCACTTGGGAGGCAGAGGCAGGTGGATTTCTGTGAGCTTGAGGCCAGCCTGGTCTACAGAGCGAGATCCAGGATGGGCACCAAAACTACACAGAGAAACCCTGTCTCGAAAAACCAAAAAAC